GGAAACCCCATCATCTAACCACATGAAGAATTACTTCACGACCAGCGAAGGTACGCTCATGTGGGGTCTGGACATGCAACGACGTCACTGGTCATCGTGGAGCGCAACAACTCTATCAATATCGAATCGATACGAAATCACGTCTCTTATTTTTTAAAGATACTATTACTTAAACTGAAATACAATGTGTAATGATTTGCTGGAATAGCAAAATCTGACATTCTCCTTTACTTGCTTTAATGGCTCTATAAAAACAATTACAATGTCAATTAGTTATGCGTACATTAGTGATTGAATACGGAATCGATGGGGCGTCATAAATCCATAAATAATTATGGAAATTTAAAGTGACGATGAATTTTACAGCTTCGAAACAAGTTTCCTGCGGTACGGGATTTCGATTCTTAAACAGCCGTCCAATTATCGTCATTTTAATTTGACCTAAGCACACGGGCAATATAATATTTATGGTAAAAACTAAACGGCTTACAGTTAACGTAATTACAACGTTTCACTCTAATATGTTACACTTTGATGTGCTTTTAATAAAACGACGATTCGCCAATACAAATATGAAGAGTCGATATAGCGCTAAAGATACAACGTTCGTCGCTTAACCGCTCGTTAAATTTGATCTCCTGGTTATACATTTTATGGACTTTTTAAACGCCAAACGCCAAATATAACGAGCCGCTTTCAAATAGTTAACAGTAACGTACTTGCCATTTTGCAGTACACATATTAAGTATGTTTTTACATGCGCTTATAAATGTCAACAGCGAAAGAAAAATTTAAACATTGTCAAAAATTTGATTACCTCAATCATTTAGTCTGTGACTTTTTAACTCTAAATGAAAACCATGCGGCATGGCATAGAGGCTTAGCAATCGGGAGGACACGGGTCCGATTCAGGGTCCGTTCGCTGTGGTCCAAATTTTTCTGGTTATTTAGGCAAATGCTAAGGCAGTGATACTCCACAAATTATATTTCACTTCCTTTCTGCCTTCATTTCGTTCGTCTCATCTTTATCATCCCAACCACCCGTCCCCAAGATTCCTAACAGGGTTTGAACAAGGCCCTTCGCCTTACCCTCTGGCGTAAATCGGAGGGACTGCCCGCCCATCAGCAATAGTAGCTGGTTAAAATGAACCAACCAAATGTTTTTTCGATCTCTATCAGATACCTACTGCAGCAATTAATTCCAAGCACTTAAATCTTTTCTTCAAAATGATGTAATTTGCATATTCGTGGACAATATCGATCACATAATATTTTACCGGTTTACGATTTGTGTTGTCGGTAGTGCGCGTGCCAGAAAGACTTAAGACAACGAGATCGCATCGGTCTGGCCCGGTATGCGGCGGGCGTTCGATGACGTGTAATAAGAAATAGTTGGCGGTGGCCACAGGTAGAAAAGTGGCTTCTCTATGAGCGCTGCACAGCAGGGCAGAGGCCGCATGCCGGCCACTATTTGTTTTGTTTTCGTTTTCAGGAAGTGCACCTTGGTTTCTAATTATAACAAACGCAGCGCGCTATCACGAGGTTAGTTACGACGACCAAGAGGACGACGATGCGATGGGTTGGTTATAGACAGATGCACCTAGTATACCTACGTTTTCTCGGCGATCGGCATTGGCAATTGCATATTATTATAACGTCTATCTTATCTCTATGTATGTACATCGAGGTACTTTACAAAATGAGCTGCTAACTGTAAAAGAACTTTTCATATTCCATATAAGTTAAGTAAGAAGGTAACACTCGGCTTTATAGCGTAGTGCAGAGGCTAAAGTCATTTTCNTAATTATCAGTTATCTAGGTCATGATGAGAAATTGATGTTGAGATCACCAATGTTTTAATCTGATTCAATGTCTAAATGATCTACTATATAATTTTATTTGCAGCGTTTCTTCTATCTTCTGTCCTTTGACATTACTAGCTGCTTCTTTCGTGAATCCATTTGGGGAACCCAAATCTTCTCCCCAATGATGTTCCTATTTTGTCGGATAGAGGAGGATTCAGGAATTCGAAGATGTACATGAATGTCAATTATCGGTGCATTTCTTCTGGTACGCTGTACCATCTGCAGGATGCGTTGTCGACATAAGTAATAATAATAGCGGGAGCGGCCGGCCACGGAGATGGTGCCCCATCAGGGCGGGCAACGGCAGCAGCGACCGCTGCGCTGCACCATCAACAGCGGCAGCAATATTGTTGGAGTGGCCTGACCCCGCTGCTATGAGATTGACCCTTAATAATGCTCACGTTGCAACATCGGCTTTTGCTATACGTATTGCCGGTCATCGCTGCTCGTCAATTATTCCTTCCGGAAGTGGATACACTCTTACTAGGCTTGCATGTTGACCGTACCCATTTACCAACATGCAGCCACGTTAATTCTCTCTTTTGCCAACAAAACGAATGTGTTCGATATTGAATTTTGCCACGCTCTACCGTAAGCAAACTCATTTTGATAGGCGATGGAAGTTGATAGATCCTTTAGACAAGAATGTCATAGAAGGATTTGACCGTTTTCAAGGGTTTAATTACCAGTATTCGTTTTCCAAGATTTTTGAGCACTAACACTAAAGCGGAATCGTAAATATAAGTTGAATTTGCCATTATTCAATTGATCAGAAACGTCATAAACTTCATGACAATTGAAAGCCTCGGTCCCCAGTATTCAGCATTCTTAGAAGATTCCCACTACTACTTTGACTTATTTATACATCCAACTATAAATTTGTAGTTGCAGAATGCTTTAAATAATGTTGAATTATAGACCCTAAGCTACTCGCATACCGTCTTTTTCTCTCTTATTGAATTCGCGATTTAATGTTCAAGTGCTCATGAATATGCTCACTAGGCTGTCGTATGGGTTAACATCAAACGTCCCATTCTGCCGGGACTCTTCTCGTTAGTTTACATGAACTGTTGCGCTGCAGCCGCCAGGATGCGGAAGCGATAAATAATGAAACGCGTTGAAAAAAATATTGGAGAAATTTCAAACAGCATGTACTAGCAGTCAACTTTAAACAGGACGAATTGGCAGTTCAGATATTAAGAAACTTTTGAGTCATTTGCATGACTTTTTGGATATATTAATGTGAATATTCATTTTAATTTTCTCCCACTACAAACTACTTCAAATTAATGAGGGAAAAACTTGTTGCTTTGGCAAGGGTGTGACAACAGCAACAAGTTTTTCCCTCATTAATTTGAGATAGTGTGTACTGGGAAACAATTAAAATGAATTTTCACATTAACATTTGATATTAACCCCTATTAAAAGTGTTTCATAAATTTTAGATATGTCGAAATTAAATAATAGAAATCAATGTTGGTCTCATACATTTTATAAATATAAACTTAAAATTTCGAGAAAGCATGGATTTGTGAGCTTGTATCGGGTACATTTCGTGATGGCGATTGAACTATTCGAAACATTAGAAGTCTGCCTGTGGTAAAGCGGTGGGCAGATAGGAATGGGTGTAATAAGTGTTTAAAAAATGGAATGGCAACACGCTATTAGTTAAATCATACCAGGTCATAATATAGCCGAGCCTACGACCATATTTCAAACGTTACAAAATTGAACAAATGTCACATATCGGCCGCGGACACCTGTTATAATGCATTTGATTGGTGAACATGCTATACCTATACCTGTGCATACGTATGTAATCAGAATCGAATAATAGATACGTATAATTTACTGGCATGTACTTTGTAAATACATGTAAAGAGTAGTATATAATAATAAGCACATAGATTCATTCGTGTTTGAGTTTGGAAACAACTCGCGACGCGAAGAAGAAAATGGGACACAGTTCCTTTTACGTTAGTGTGTTGTGTTGTGTATGTACATGGGAGCTTTTTACGACATTTCTGTCTCTGGCGTGTAGGTGGCATGCAACTAATTATCAGGAATGCATAAATGGAAAGTAGGCTTCCGAACGAAGAAAAGCCGCCACGACGAAAGACGGACGCGGACAGCGCGACCGCAACACTGCGGGGCCAAAAACACGAACGGATCCAAACGAGCAGCGTACAAATCCCGCCTATTACGTAGGTACGACTAGGTGAAATTCTACTTACAAAATGAATGTGATTGCTACTTTTGCGCGTTTATTTCTTCAAACAAACGTCAGCCAGTCGCACCGACCGACGTCTTGCTGTTTAGAGATCATTGACAGCAACTGGAGTAAAAGTTGTAGTAAGTATGTGTATAGAAAGGAAGAAATTTCCGACACAAACCTAAATTGTGTACATAATATGCATCGAGAGCATACGATTACTGCTGCAGATAATTTAATTCGAAGTGTACGTACTGTTGTAAGTTCAGTCCTAACCCAACCAAACCCAATCACTATTAGGTACCATTTAACATTGACAAAAGCTTCAATCTGGATTATGATGACATTCGACTAAAAATACCGAATTGATTGATCAAAAGTTTTCGTTGTTGGTTAGGTTGAGGTCTGTCCTTTCGCGGCTCAGTCTAAGGGTGGCTTAGGTACCTACTTACATGTATCTCTAAATTAAAAACAAAAGATTCCTGTTGAATCCTTATTTCGGTATCTATATCGACGGTAATTAATAAAGGTGCGCTCAGTCGCATACTTCACTTATCACAGATCTTTCACGCCTGCATAGCGGAAATAACTGAGGCCTATAGGATTAATAAAAGCAGCTATCTTTGAACAGTCTAACTAGTCAGCGTACCTATATGCAGATACAGCCAGTTTTTACTTGTTTTCTTTTCGAATGTTATTATTAATTCGCAAACGATTGGTTCACTGCATACCTCGGTATAAATATATAGCTCAGTCAGTTACCTACGTGTACACAGAGGTTGTATTAAGTACTCGAGGCAATGGATATGCGTTTAGTAATTAGATGTGATGAACTTGTTTGAAAATGTAAAATGATGCGTCACAGTAAGGTAGATATAAGTAAAAATAAAATGAGTTGTTAAGGCTCATACCTTGTAACTTACCGTCACCCGTAGACGAACCCACATGAGATGAGTCTTCTAAAAAAAAAAAAGAAAAAGTTGATATAGTTTTTGGTACACAAGAAACGACACAAAATTGTATAAATATTGTAGCGAGCACGAGTGTGTTTGTGTGCGATCGGGCACACGTGTGCGTGAACGGTTTATCGATTCGCCGACTAGCCGCGGGCGCCTTTCTTCATGTGCGCTGTATTTGTAAATGTGTGTGTTGTACCTGCGTTCTGGGAAAGCAGTTTAAAGAAAAAATAAACTATCCGGATGTTTCTAGGAGGTTCCAGAAAGTAAACAAAAGAGTATTTAAGGGAAGAGACGATCGCCGAAAGAAGAAGAAATAAATTGACCGTTGCAGAAGTGAATCGAGAAATAAATTGACAGTGATAGCAGTGAAATAAATAGCGCAGAGAATAGTGATATATCAACAGTAGTGTAAATAAATAGAATAATTCATAACCTAAGTTGAGTAATAATTTAATAGTGTTTTTAAGTTCTTTAATAATTAATGTAAGTAAATAGTTTTTGTCGTTATCAGTCTTAGAGGTTAATTTTGTTAAATCCACGAACATTACAAAATGTACGCAGTGAGGGAAGACAGTACCCAATTCCTTCCTGGGTGTGAAGATATTTTAATGTCTTCTAGAAATTCAGTAAAATCCTTTTCTAATAAGGAGTGAGTAATGACTCTTGCCTCGGAGGAAATACTGCGCTATCTTTCTAAATTTTATGATCTGATTCTGTACTGATTCGAGTATAAGGTCGTCGTAGGTTACAGTTGCCTCTTAACGTTTCGCTAACACAAGCGGCGAGCTTCTTCAGAGGTCTTTAAGACTCGAATCAGGTCAACATCAGTTCATCTAGTGGCCGCGAAAGCCTTTATTAAAATATGATATCGAGTTATGATAAGTTAAGTAACTTGTACAAAGGAAAATCAACTGTGAAATTATTAATTAATATGCCAAAATTTAAGATCATGCTCGATATTTTTAATTTTACGCTATCGCAACTTGTCGGCAACGAGACCTGCGGTTTTTATGTAAAATTCAACACAACAGGAATTGCGTAATTATGTGCCAGACGTTTGCATTCTAATTAACATTATTTTACCACACTTTTCAGAATACCAAAAAGCCTTGATCTATTTCAATTTAAGAATTATCGTTGATGTCTCATTAAAAAAAGTATTTCATAATTACGTATTACATCACAATAAGGAAAGATTTTTTTTAATTACCTACTGAGTTTGTATTTAAATAGCAGCAGACCGTTATGGAGCTGGAGCAACAACTTAGAGTAGTAAATATTAGTAAAGGAGTCCGACAAAGATGCACACTGTCACCACTAATACTTTTTAATCTATACATCGAAGAAGCTATCAACATCATTTAAGACAGTACAACTGAAAGGATTAGATATGCAGAGACAAAGAATTAGTATGCTTAGATCTGCAGATGATAGCAGTATTAGCAGCAAGTAAGGGGGAGTAGAGACAGCTTTAAATAAAATTGAAGCGGTATTGACAAAACAGTATTGTATCAAGATAAATAAAAGTAAAACAAAGATACTGGTATGCAAGGGAAGAAAGTCTAGGAAAAAGCGAATATAAAGATAGGAGGCGCCAAATTAGAAGATGTGGCTGATTTTTGGTATTTAGGAAGTCAGATAAATCAGGACGGAAGGGTAGAAGGGACATGAAGCAGAGGACAGCGCAGGATCGAGCTACCTTCAATGAAAAGAAGTCACTTCTATGCTCACGAATGGTTAAAAGATTGTACGGATGGGAAACATGGACGGTGTGTGCAGCAAAAAAGAAAAGGTAGAAGCATTCGAAATGTGGTGTTACAGGCGAATTATGGGGATACCGTGGATAGAGAAGGTTGGAAATGAAGAAGTATTAGAAAGAATAAGGGAACAGAAGACTCTATGGAAGTTAATAAGAAATAAAGGATGTGGGATGTTCTAGTTTTAGGAAAATGCGAAGATTAGCTCAGGATAGAAAAAAGTGGAGGTGCGTGTCCAACCAGTCTCAGGACTGACGACCTTATGGTGACGATCTATTTAAATCGTCAGTTTCGTACAAACCGCTTTAAGTGCAACAACTACGTAAAAGTCATAGACTTTCTCGTAATCCAGTTGAACTAAGCCAACATAATGTCACCATATATTTCTGGTCTGGAATAAAAAAAGTAACCGCACACGGCAGCAATAAGAATCAATTTTATTTCCATAACGTTATCATGTCGCTTAGAAGTGGCTCGAGCTACAGCATGAAAAAAAATCGGAGAGCAAAGAAGACATTTATTTTACTGCAACTGCCGACTTGAGTCTGGAGTATTATAAACCTTTAAGTGAAAATTTATTCTCATAATAGTTCCGCATGCATCTAGGCTTTTGCAACAGCCACTAAGCATTTCTCCTTTGCATACGCATCATTTACACCTTTATGTTAAGATAATCATAAATTTACGCCCATATGTACAGTAGCCACCAAAATATTTGAGCGAATGGGTCTAAAAGGCATTAAAAGTTAAAAGTACGTGTCCTCTAGTCGTCAGAACAAGGACTGAAAGCCTCATGATGTTGATGCTACACCATTTTCGGCGAGTACTGTACATAATCCATGTTCAACGGTTTTGTGATCGGAACGCAAGAAATGATCGAGTCGATATCATCGCTCATCTATGATACAGTTCGTGAAAATGGTAATGTGCCAAGTTTATATGGTCGACAATTTCGAGCTGGCGCACTTGTTTTGCTTTCATTTGAATAATTTAAAGCGGAACACGAATCGGTATTCAACCTAGGAGACCTAACCGGCACCGATTTACAAGACATTACAGGTGAACTTCGATTTCGATACATGATACTTCAGGCGTCCGCATACACTGATCGAATCGCGATCGATAAAATCGCACAGAATCGATAGAGAACCAATCTAAACGGCTATCTTCAACTCGAAACACATATCTCAGTCGCATGTCGTTCTAATAATAAACTTTAGCAGTTATTTGCCTATTAGAAGCGCGAATGAGAACCAGAAGTACCCAACTGTAATAAAGAGAATAAAATTTGAAGTCAATACAATTAGTGTTTGTAGTTTTTACTTTTGCTAAATGCCCTGAAATTTAAGTGTCCAAATGTGAACTCATTATCTTACTATCTCCCATGGTTGAAATTCAATCAATTGATTTTTTATTGATTATAGGCGCTTTCTTCTCTAAAGTTCTTATAAACTTATATATTGAAAACAATTCCAATTATTTCAAATTGTTGTTAACATAACATTAGAAAACCTACCTTCGAAAGCCCCCACCTCTGGGTCAAAAAAAAAACATTGTTGTTGTTTTTCGTTAAGGTTCAAAAAATTGTACCAGCTACAAGATCGCAAGTATTTGATGATCGTGTAATGGATCGATTCGATCGTCGAGTGGGAGGACATCATCAGTGAACCGTTTTAGTTGATACACTTGCAATTAGTTGAAAATCGATAGGATAATAGTGCCTTTCTGTCGATACATGACATTAACATTGATTTCGGCGATCGGCTTCGCCTATATTACAGTGCACGGGCCGATCACGTACGCAAAATTTCAATAAATTGCAGTAAACAACATATATCACGACAAGCCACAAAGATCTCTCGGAATAACCATCATAAAGCACTCAGGATACTTGTTTTCGTTATTCTTAAATCATAAATAATCGCCGTGCTTTTTCTTAACGCTAAATAAGATATTTTAAAACCAGTTTCAAACAAATTGCACCAAGGGATCACGGGAAACCCATTTGGAATACGAAAGACTTAAAAGGAGTTTCAAAAGAAAGACAACGCTGAATCGGATTTACAATTTGCAATCATATGGTCCTACCCAATCATCACTAATTAGAAAAAATAATAATACAAAAGGTATATTAATAACTTACTTTTCTTTTTGTGTTCCTGCTCCTGTTGGTGCATCATTCCCGAAGAAGGATCGATCATCATGGAGTGCCCCAGGTGCGCATTATGCCCTCCTGGCTGGCACTCCATCGTAATCATAGTACCCTCAATCTTGATAAAACTGTTCTGAAACAAAAAAAAAATGAAATTATAAATTGGTTCAAGCTTTCACGATCACTTTTGATGTGATCTTTAATCTTCGGGCTTTCTGGACGTCGTTGATCGAGGCTTCGTATTCTCAACGTTTTGTCGAAAACAATAGCTAACATCTTTAGCAGTCTTTCTTCTCAAAATGGGTAGTCCAATTCTGCCAGTCAACAAAACGTTGAGTATAAGAAGACTTGACTCGGTTAGAAAGTCCGAAAATTAACAATGACCAAAGTCAAAATGAAATCATTTAGGCATCGTCGATAAAGTCTGAAAATTGGTTCGTCTTCCTGTCCTGAGCGAATCTTCGCAATTCCCGAAAGATATAGAACATCCTAAATCCATAACTAGCTTCAAACAATAATCCAAATTACTCCTTCCACTATCCCTTTTTACTCTTAGTAGTTTTTAATGCCTGAAAAGGTGTCTGGGCAACCTATCTGGCCTATTTTCATTCATAGCACCCGTAGTTCTCCTACTCTTTCTAATACCTCCTCATTTCCAACCTTCTCTATCCACGGTATTCCCATCATCCACCTATAACACCACATTTCAACCGTTTTTAATATTCTCTTTTCCGTATACATTTTTAACAATCTTTTAATTTCTTACTTAACTAGAAATTTCAGTTATCAAACTATCTGTCATAGCCTATCATAACTTAAAGTTAATGTTAAAAGATTGGACACTATCCTGAAAGTACCTTTTCCCCGTGTGGTATGTACTACGAATTCATGTATATGCATATAGATAGCTAACTGTAAGCGTCTCTTTATTAGTCGACATTATGTTTATTCATACATTAATATATTGCATACCACACTTATTTTTCTCTCTCCGATCCGGGTACATCTTATGCCAAGAAAGAAAGAAATACCAAGCAGAAATATTTCAGATCGAGACTCATCTTCCTGTACAACTTAATTAAAATTAAATGTTAAAACAAATGCGTAATATGTAAATAAATATTAATCGGACAGCAGCCGTGCGTTCGCTGAAAGAATTTCGCTAGCGAATAAACTGAACAAACTTATTCAAATAGTAATTTATCTCGATACAAGACGTTCGCATTAATTAGAATTTTGCGATCTTGTGTTGCGAACAACGTGATGTCTACGTTCCTGTGAGATTAATATAAATTAACCTGCAGCAATGATTACCTACTATTATTATTTGCATCTTTTTGTAACAGGAGGGCCCACGATGATGACACACGGCCCTTTCGCGTTCTATACTCTAGACAGCCAAGTAATTTATCAGTTGGTTGTTAGTCAATATAATATGATAATTTATATAAACAAATCGTCTTCAATCGGCTAATTGGTTGTATTGCGTTCCTGATTATGAATTATGAAATTTCAAGTTCTGTTGCTTCAATAATAAGAACTCAATACAATACACCAGACACCAATTTATAATAAGTGAGAATCTTTCAAAATGATTAATATATACGAGGGTGGATTGATAAGTTTCCGGCCTAACCAAGAGATGACGCCACTAGGCCTACCTTGAGGTGACATTCTATAGTACCATCCTTGGATAGCTTGTAGCTATAGTTTCAGCCCGATCTCCTTGCTAGTGTAGGTTTGACAGCACGCTGAACAAGACGCCTCTGTGGTTTTCGTAAAAATGGAAAAGCAGGAAAATCGTGCTGTCATCAAATACTTTTATTTGAAGGGGTTAACGCCGAAGGAAATTAAAAAAGAGATGGACTCAACACTGGGGACATCCTCCCCGTCATATTCAACCGTTAAGCAGTGGGTTTCCGAGTTTAAAAAGGGTCGTGTGAGCACCTCTGATGGGCCTCGCTCAGGACGCCCCGTTGAGGTCACAACTCCAGATATGATCGAAAAAATTCATCAAATAGTGCTGGGAGACCGCAGATTGAAAGTGCGTGAGATAGCTGAGACCTGTAAGATGTCATATGAACGTGTGCAACATATTTTGCACCAACATTTGCATATGGAAAAGCTCTGTGCAAGATGGGTGCCGCGTTTGCTAACAGTCGACCAAAAATTGATTCGAAAAAACATTTCTACCGCAAATTTGTCATTGTATAAGCGTAATCCAAGCGAATTTTTGCGTCGATTCGTAACCGTTGACGAAACGTGGGTCCACCACTACACTCCTGAAACCAAAGAACAGTCTAAACAGTGGATTGGACCAGGGGAACCAACTCCAAAGAAGGCAAAAACAATTTTTTCGGCGAACAAGGTTATGGCTACTGTTTTTTGGGATGCAAGAGGTATTATATACATTGATTACCTTGCAAAGGGTAATACTATCACTGGTCAATACTACGCAGACTTATTGCAACGTTTGAGCCACGAGGTGAAAATTAAACGACCTCATCTGGCGAAGAAAAAAATCTTGTTTCATCACGATAACGCACCAGCGCACACGTCAATCGTTGCGACGGCTAAAATCAACGATCTAAAGTTTGAATTGATGCCGCACCCTCCTTACTCTCCAGACCTAGCCCCGAGTGACTATTTTCTGTTCCCTAATCTCAAAAAATGGCTTGGCGGTAAGAGATTTGCGGACAATGAAGAAGTAATCGAAGCTGTAAATGGTTATTTTGAGGAGCTTGACGAATCAGTCTATAGAGATGGCATTAATAGACTGGAACACCGCTATGAGAAATGTATCAGCCTTGGAGGAGATTATGTTGAGAAATAAAAAAAAAAAATTTTTAAAAACCTTGTTTTTCTTGGTCAGGCCGGAAACTTATCAATCCACCCTCGTATACTGATTTCTATTGAATTTTAGAGATTTAAGAATTACAGGTAATAGTAGAAGGGAGGTTCATATTTCTTTATTACCTAGTAATTTATTTGAGAGAACATGGAACATGGGATGTTAATTATCTTTTATGCTGTTAATTGTTTATTACAACAGTAATTATATATTATATTGCTCGTGTTCAATATCGAAAATTAATGTTGTAGTTAACTTCAACACGTCGAGTATAAGATGTAAACTAATGCCGATGAAGGAGATACCGATATAATAGTTGACGGTTTCTTGAAATGTTAATAGTAAGTAACACTCTTTACTATTACCAACTAAACAGGAAAATGCGCACCTATGTGTCCCTGTTAGGATAATTAGGATAAACAGAAATGTAAATGACTTAGTGACTTAGTATGTGTTCGATTTTCTGTAACCGGTTTTTATAAATATTAATTGGCCCTTATAAATCATCGCGAATTTCCCCCGCTGCTTATATCAAAACATAATAATTAATTCTAGTACACGGGATATTAATTCAAAAAAAAAGTTAAATGAAATATTTTGTTTGAGCCGCCAGCTTTAATTGGTCGGTCACATATATACTAATACCTTACACAACAATAATGACTTTGTATAAGTACATTAATATGCTTTTCTAATCGGCCGTTAAAATAAAGTTGACATCAAAATTAAATAATTACAGACTGTACCTAATAATAAACAACAAGTCCAAGAAGTTGTGAATTAATTCAATGAAACAAACAGGATCTTTATAATTACTATTTCGTTATATTAAAGTGAAATTAAAAACGACAACCAACTACTAATGTTAGTGGACGGGCAGTTCCTTCCGGACTACGCCGAAGGGTAGGGTATAGAAGGTCCTCATCGGCCTCTTTTAAGAATCCTGGGAATGAGTCGGTGGTGATAGGGGTGAATAAGGATGAGACGGACGTAAGTCAGAAGAGGGTGAAAGATCACTTGTGGAGTACTATTGTACCAGCGATTCATCCAAGGAGGCCACAGAATTACTTGGATCGGAGCGGACGCACCCGGAATCGAACTCGTGTCCTCTTGGATGCTAAGCAATGGCCTAAACCTCTAGGCCATGCCGCTCCGTGACGTTAAAATAAGTATTAAAAACCTTTTGTTCTTGAAATTTGTATTCATATCTGCTTCCACCATCTCTCTAACTAGTCCTGCTGGGAGATTCTACATGTTATCAATGTTCTTCTTGTTCGTTTTTTGTTTCATGATAGGCTTGGGTAAATTGATGGCTTGATCATCAAATTACGCTGTAAAGACTCTGCGAACACCTGCAATCGTAGGATCCGCGTCCGTAGCTGATTTATATTAAATTCCCTACGTATTCCAATTAAATGGTCATGTTTACACCACGACTATTTTGAAAAGGTCAAACACGCGCGATAACGACCTCTCGCGGTTGCGTAATTAAAGTGCAGAACCGAGTAATTAATATTGCATCTAAATGGCCAAGGCTGCGTCAGTGTTGTTTTCTTGTTCGCTGCTTGGATTCACCTACGTTTCATAACTACAATAACGGGGACTTGAGTTTTGCAACTAAAATCAACTAATGAACGACTAACGGCACTGAAAACTTCTTTTTTTCTCGCGCGCTGCTCAATATACCTAACGCTTTATTTAGGGATTATTTCAGTTTATTTCATTGTCAATTAAACCGATAAGTAGGTAATAAATATCGTAGACCTAAATAAAATGGAAGCGGTATTAGCAGAACAGTATTATATGACAATAAATAAAAGTAAAACAAAGTATTTGTATGCAAGGGACGAAAAAGTAGAGAAACAGCAAATATAACGACAGAAGAAGAAAAATTAGGACAAGTGGCTGATTTTTGGTATCTCTAGAAGCTTAGAAATGAAGAGGTATTTGAAAGACTAGGAGAACAGAGTGTTACTATAGAAGTCATTTAGAAATAGGCTAGAGAGGTTGGTAGAACACCTTCTCAGGCATGAAGGACTAGTCAGAGACATATTAGAAACAAAAGCAAAAGTTAAGAGGAATATAGGTAGACCTAGATTAGATTACTGTTCTGGGATGTTCTAATTTTAAGGAATTGCGAAGATTAGCTCACGATATAGGAAAAGGTGGAGGTGCGTATATAACCAGTCTTAGGAATCAGGACCTTTTGATGATGACCGATGTTCTCTTGATACAGATAGGTAGGTTTGTAAGCTAATTTGAGGAGCGATTTGTTTTCATGA